AGCTGTGGTTTTCAAGCTAAATTCAAGGTGGCCTGAGACCACGGTTTACTGCCCTGAAACACTCTGTTCAGGCCACCTTGAAAAGAAAGGTGTAGTTGGCACCTTGCTTGCAGCTACCAGGTATAGTACTTCAAGTTCCCTTTCCGTCAACCGCTCGATAGCCTCTACACACGCACAGCAATCCACAGCTTTGAAGTCTCATTTGTGCTTTGAACTTGTGTAGGTGTGTAAGAGGTCTCACGGCCGCCTCCACCTGGCAAATGCCAAGCGGAGCTGCCGTAGAGAAATGAAAGAAAATGGAGTGGGATGGTGGATCTAGGGTGCAGACCTACCTTTCTATCCTATGCTTCGACGCGCAGTTCTCGAGAAAGGGAAGCGCTGGCTTTCGTTTTGCAGCTTCTCAGGTAGTATGTTGCTATACCTCTTACACACCTATACAAGTTCAAAGCACGAATGAGACTTCAAGGCTGTGGCTTGCTGTGCGTGTGTAGAGGTTCTCAAGCGGTTGACGGAAAGGGAACTTGAAGTACTATACCTGGTAGCTGCACTATAGCTACCCTAGGTCTCTCTACCTTGCAAGGTGCCAACTACACCTTTCCATTCAGATGATGCAAATGATGCATTTGGCATTTCTTGCATCACCACCCTCAAAAATCACCTCCAACACAACCTCAAAAAACCTTCCCTCGGAGCACCCTCCTCCCCCAGCATGTGCTGAGTTGACGTGTCCCTTTCTCGGGCCACCCCCCCAGACCCCCTAACTACTCACTTCGTTCGCCAGACACAACTCCGCTAGCGCCTTCTACGAAGGCTGGCTTTCGTAATCTAGCCCACAACTCATGCATTGCACTCCTCTTGCACATTCCCCTTCAATTGGGCTCCTGTCGCGTCTCCTCATTGATTAGACCACCGGAAACTCCACCCGGAACCACAACCGGAACCGCACTGAACGGAGGGCTTAAGGCCAGGAACCCAGGGGGACGACGCTTCTGAGGCGCGCCTGCTTCTGCGGCAATGAACCTCAGACCCACCGTCACGAAGCAGGCTGAACCAGATGACTCATGTAGTGAATTGCAGCAACTCACTCAAATTCCCCTCTGGTGAGTCTGGTTGTTTGCATTGTTTGCAACGTCCGACTGCGTTTCGCACAACCTCTTATGATCGTGCACGCCCGCAACGGGCGACAGAACATTAGCACGCCGTCCAGGCATTCATTTGATCATCCGCATGCCGACTTGCATGCGGATCCAGCACATCAAGAGGTGTCTCCGAACGACCGAGGTCATCGCATGTTCAACGATGTCCAGCCTCCACATAAGGACAGGTTTTGACAGGGTGCTCGCAGTGCTCACATGCAGACTGGAAGTCCGTGGAACTTGTGCTCTCTTGCACGGCATCAAAGCAGTGCTCGTGTGCCAATGGTCTACTTGGCTGTGGGTGAGTCCCCATGTTTGCTTTACCATGTGCCATGATGGTGCAAGTGGGAGGAGTTCTGCTGAAGCAAACTGCAGTGAATCCCAGTTGCCACGGTCAAAACATGCGGCGGTCAGCCCACATGCTAGTCATTCTGGTGCCATGGTATCGCTCTTCAAGGTTCCCTATCGCTCCACACAGTCCCAATTAATAACAACACCCACAATCTCTCTCAACCCGGAGGATTCTTGCTCTGCACATGGGGACGTGGCAACTTCTGAGGCATCGCTCCAGGTATCGTTTGGTATCGATTTGGTTATCGCTCCAGAAACCAGGGTTTTCCAAATTCTATGTCAAAAAGATTCAATAATTCTCAAACTATCATTGTGAGATGACACATGATGACACCTTCCCGGAACAGGTATCGCACGTCAGGGTTTCCTATCGAGACCACACGGTGATGAAATACAGAGTTTTACAAAGTCAATGGCGGTTTTTCCTCCAAAACTCTTCATGGGATCTTGTGGCCCCTGCTCATGGGATCTTGTGGCCCCTGCTCATTACACTCCCTGAAATCATCATGGTTGCGTGGATGGCACCACCTGTTTGTAGAGGATGGCATGGTCATCCAACGGGCCATTGTCCACTTCCATGCTTGTTTCAGGGAGTGTATAAGGAACCGGGGGGTTCTAGGTCTACGGTTTGCACTGGATGCACTGGGAATGGCGGACCAATGAATTTTCGGAGCCAGGCAGCAAGGGAGATCGGCCCCAACGGTCCACTTCGTCAATGCTGGCCTTGGCCTTGGGAGCAAAGCTGGGCCAACTGACTCCCTGAGGTAACCAGGAAAAAAAAAAGACCATCCACCAACTCAACTCCAACCTCCAACTCAACTCTTTTCTGGGTTTTGCCATCCACCAACTCCGCGACTCTCCGTCCTGTCCCCTGCGACTCTTTCCTGCAACTCTGCGGCGTCCATGAGCATCTTCACCTCGGTCAATGCAGAAGTGGCCACGGCAGCCCCTTTTGCAGTCTTAAGCAATTTGCCCAAATGCGACCCGTTCGGACCCTGAATCCTGATGATGGAGTGAAATCGAACCCGAATCCTTTGGAGGGGTCTGGTGTCTCAAATCCATAGCCCTTAAAGGACCAAGGGCTGTGAACGGAGCATCTGAGCGGAAGAACTTTGGGGCCTGTACTGCCTACAGATTGACATGGAACCCCAAAACCACTGGGTTGTAGAGGAAAATGGTCTTCCACCGGTCAATTCTCAGGTTCCATGTTAGTTTGCGGAAGAGTGGATGTGACATGGGGGCACCTTCAGGGCCACCCTCTGAGATGGGCCAACAATCTGGAGGTTCTGTTTCTTTGGCGTTGTTGGTTTGACATCTAGTCCATTCGTCAAACATCCACAAACCAAATCATTAGTGTGAGCGCTTGTGAAGGAGGAAGCTTCCCCCCGCCCTCAGGTGGGGGGGAGTTTCCTTGAAGAAGCATTGATGCAGGGAAGAAGAAGACTCATTTACCCTGATAACCAAAATTAGGGGTGATGAAGCGATGAATAAATGAACAGTCAACTCTTCGAATGTCGCCGCATCTACCACTGACTACCCTGGCGGCCCTGATTCCCCGAACCAGCATCAACGAGTTGTCGACGCAACCTGTTTTTGCTCGAACTCCTCATGAACACATCCGAAATCACGGCCTTTGAGAAGCTGAAGGTCAACCAACAACTGGATCTGATAGATCAGTTTGAATATAGAGACTAGAGATGACTATAGAGTCCTAACAACTCGGAATCCCAAAAGCGGAGATTTCACCGATGCCATGAGAAGGCCGAAACCAAAGGCCCTCAGTGGCTGAAAGAAGGGTCGTATAGGGGCTGTGTGGCGGGTCGGGCATCCGTTCCCACGGAACGGCTGCCGTCGGCTGCACGTTCCACCAGTTCGGTTTGAGCGTTTCGGGTGAAGGACGTGGGAACACGCTTTGCCCCAAACCAGATCCATTGAGGCAACGGCTAACGGCGGCAACCCCAATTTGATTAAGTGAGACTGCTTCGTGATCCCATGTTCGGCCTTAGAGGGGCCTTCTAGACCCGGGACGAAAAGACCAGCGGTTTTTGGGCCTTCTTCAGACCACGCCCAACATAGATGCAAGAAGTCCAAGGAGTATACTTTGACCATCTTTGACATACAAGTAATTACAAATATGCATAGTATACGGGTGCTTCCCTGCTGTGCTTCCCATCTATCCTGCATGATTAATCCATCTCCATGTGCCTTGACCACGACGTTAAGCGCTACATCGACCCTGCAGATCAAGTCATCATACAGCACATGACTCATTGACCTCTTCAAACCACGATCGCTCCAATCTGCAATCCCTCGTTTCTTTTTCTGGATGATGAACACCTCATTTCCGATCCATTCCCCCACTTGCTGACTCTGGATCCAATCACCCACCCCATGGGGTTGAAACACCTTGATACCGGGGGGAGGTTGAAATGTAAACATATTACATTTGCGGTACATTTACGGTACATGTGAATTTAAAGTCAGTTCGAACTTCCTCAATTCCAGGAACTCGTCCGCTCCGCTCGGACGTCGGTCTCCCACACACACCCAGTCGGCCACCCTCCAGCCTCCCCAGCCGAGCATCCATGGCGAAGTGCCCGGCCTCCGCCGCGAAGCTGAGCGCCGAGCGGCCGTCGCGGTCCACGGGGTCGGCGGAGCAGCCCACGTCCAGCCTGAGAGGGCGGCTGGGAGGGGAATTCGGATGGACCTGGAGCTTCTTGACGGAGCATCCTACCTGGAGTAAGTATGATAGATAGGGCCTTCCAAACAAGTGACTCAGGTGAGCGTAAGGCGCCATAAGGAAGGTGCTGTGTCTGAGACGTTCCAGATCTACATTTCTGGCATCTCTCTGAGTGCCGGAGGGACGTGGATTCTCCACGTCTTTCTAGATAAAAGTTCCCCCCAAATGCCCTGAAATCAGCCGCAAAATCCAAGGTACGTGGATCATGACGGATCCACACAGAGCTCCCATCTCTCCGAAGAACAAAACAAAAAAACAAAAGGGTTGACGATCCCTGGGGATCCAAGTACCTTCTCAGAAGGTACTTGGAGCCTCCAAACCTACATAACAGTGTCTCCAAACACCTTCTGAGAAGGCACTTGGATCCCTAGGGGATATCACTGCAGGGCACGGAGTCGAACGAGTTCCTTCGAGTTCAGCTTTTGCCGACCGCGAGCGAGTCCCTGGACCGCTGGACAATTACGGGACGCTCCATCGGATGCTCGGAGCTTAAGTGGACAAACAAGTCCTGAAAGCTGAAAGGAGAAGCCTCAGCTGAAGGGAGAAAACCGCAGAATATGATGGGTACACACACATGTTTCCACATTGGAAACATTTGGACACCATATGTCCTTTCTGAAAACGCTTCATGTAGCTGTTGGACGTGCCGTTGTAGCCTTTCAGAAAAAAACAAACGGCATGTCTTTGCAAAACTGCTTGGACATTGGCGGCCCACTTCCACGCAAATCCTGCTTCTTGGGGTGAAAAATGCCGAATTAGATTCTCAGATCTTTAACTTTGAGTCAATCAGGATGATCTGAGTCAATCAGGAAAATACAGCATAAGTTTGGTTCCTCATCCTCTGCTGAGCGGGGGACTGCTCGTCACGAACTGAAGAAGTAACACTGATGGTGCATGAGCCAAGTTGGAGTGGCGATTGACTCTGAATCACACATCATCCCCAATTCTCTATAGAACATTCGTGCGAACTCTCTGTACTTCATCTTCGCTTCTCACTGGTCTGGCTCCATCTCGCTGGCTACACCAAGTCCTCAGTGTCACCCAGAGCATCGTCACTGCGACGTCGTCGCGACGGTCCACAGCCGTCGACCCGGACCGAGCCCGTGCGACCCTCGGATGGCATACATATCTTCTCGGAGTGCTTTGCAGGCACGGTCGAATTTGTTTTCATGCTGCGGGGCAAATAGATAGGCATAAATCCCTATTCGGCCAAAGGGGGCATCAGTTCCTTCAAAGGAATCTTGTCTAAAATCAATTCCTTCGGCTCGCATGGAGATAACTGTGCCTCAAAAAGCTGTGCCTCAAAAGCTGTGACGGGGGCTCACTTGTTGGATGATTGAGCAAGTCTAACTTGCTCTGTCTGTGACTCTATGACTCACGATGCCATGTTCGCAATACTTGAAGCAAATCCATGTCATTGTGAACTAACATTCAAAGATATTCAAACCTATTACTATGACCTATTCTATCATGTCTGAATCCCAAATCAACAGCCTGATCCCCAAACCGTCCTCCAAAGGTTGATTATGCTAAAGGATGATCCCCAAAATATTTGACATGATCCTTTTCTGTCATTTCTATGAATTAAGAAGCCAAACCGTAGAGTCTACCGTTTTCGGCATCAGTTGGAATGGTGTTCTACACGGATACACGCGGGTGCTTTCAGTCGATTGCTAAGCACATTCCCAGCACGGATCCACCCAGCTAGTTCTGTCCACCACCTACCAGGAGCGTACAAGGTCCAGGTCTTGACCCCCACAGCAAATCAGATTCTTGGCCTTCATGGACGACCGGGCTCTCCCCAGCAAATCCGGCTCCGGGCACGCGGCAAACGCGTTCGGGCGCGGAGTCCCTGGACAGTCCAAGAGGACCCGCGGTTGGGATCTGGTGAAACATGGACCTAGTGGACCTAGGGGCGCACGCAGCCTGTGAAGTTCCACAGGTGTGAAGGGCATTGAAAGATGTGAAGCAATTTCAGCAGTGTCCATGCAACAACTGCAAGACCCACCAGGTTGAGGGCAAGAAGAGGGAGCGCAAAACAAGAATAGCATACGGCAAATGAGATGAAGACGATCAGGCCATTGGCGGTGCTCTTCACCGCACTGAAAAGGCCTAAAGAAATGCTGAAGAGCGCTTTGGCCCTACCAGGCGGTGTCAGGTAATCAAACACCAATGCTAAAAGACTGGTCTGCAACATTAGCTGGAGAATGTTCTCCAAGAACACCTTGGAGATGCTTAAGGAAAACGGGAAAATGCAAAAAAATACCAAATCGCCCGATCCGCAAAAACCAAACACCTTGGAGATGCTTAAGGAACACGGGAAAAAAAAATTATTCACCAAACGGGCAGTTAACCTTGGGAAAATACAGACATCACCCGATCCGCAAAAGCTAGGCACCTTGGAGATGCTCACCACAGCACGTCTGATCATTGAGTTCTCCCTTTGATACCGGTCTCGCAGCTTGGCATAGCCCAGCAGGGTGGCAGAGTCGCACGCAAACTCCGCATCCAAGGTGCCAATTGAAAGCTGGGCCGTGGCCCCCATGACGAAGACCGCGGCCATGAGCCCCCAAAGACGGAAACGTTGAACCAACGGCGCCACCCAACTGGCACCACTCTCAGCCCAGGCTGCTGCCAAGCGATCTGAGACATTGAGGTCTGCGTCGCAGTACCAAGCCTGGTGGAGTCGGAGGACTAACAAATCGATAGTTATATAAGGTGATCTCCACTTTGAGAAGGAATGCTACAACAAAGTCCAACTAAAAAGTCCTTGAATTGAAGACATTAGTTTGACATTGTCTGTATTCTCATGATTTTTCTTGCCTCAGTCAAAGAGATTTCAATTCCATCAAAGGGTTGCGTGTTTTCAAGTCTGCCTGGATGGGAGCGGCACCATCGGTAAAGAAGTCCAAATGTTCCAGCGGGCCAAAGACCAGGAAATCCAGCCAAAGCCAGAAGCCCCAGGGAAGTGCCGACTCTGCTTGGTCTGGGAACTCAGCAGGGAGTGCCTGCATCAGCTCAAGCTCGACGTACTTACTTCGGAGGAGGAAGGGGACGTAGATGGCATAGAGCCACAAGGGAGATCCCTCTGAGCAGGTCGTGTAGGGCAGCGCCAACAGTGGAAGGAGGGGAAGAAGAAGCATCATTCTCATTTCTCGCCTCGCAACCTGTTCCACTGGCATCAACAAAAACAGTTTCAGTTTGATCAATTTCCCTTTAAGCAAAAGTGGCATGGTCTAACATACTTATATTTGTCATCAGCAAAACTTGGTTCCTTGAGCCTGTAAGCAAGAAACACAAAAGACTAAACAAACATACAGTAAACAAACTGACAAGCAGCTTGCATCCTAAAACCTTCGACTGCATTCGACTGTATAATAATATTTCAAACTATATATACTCTATATTTATATATGTATAAAGGGGGTATATCCCACTACCAGTAGCAATGGATTATGGATGAATGTGGATGATGATGGTTCAGATGCGGGCCTTTCTCTACAATAGTGGTGTTCTTGTTTACCGACTGCTACAGGTTTCCTGGCCCAACTAACACCTTCGACTGTATCTTATCGTATAATATTGACTTGTCCAAGTTTGGGTATTGCATATAAAACCTTGAAAAATATAAAAGGTGAAAAAAAGGTGAAAAAAAAGATGATTGCAAAAAGCTAAAAAAAAAGGAGAAGAAAAGGTCGCCCTGGAACAGCTACGTAAAAAAAGGAGAGGACCTTGAAAGAGGCACACGGCTTCCAAGTGCAGAGATGCGTTCAACTGCTTTTGCTGCTGCCCTTGCCCTAGTCAAGTCCTACACTCCTAGACTTGTTCTAACTGTACCTGGATCTGGGTCCAGCCTACTTACTTACTTGGGCTTACTTCTGGTTTTGCCACTGGGCGCACCTTTTCTTCACCTTTTTGTATCACCTTTATTTCGACTTTTTTTCACCCTTTTTTCACCTTTTCCTCGAGTTTTTGATGGTTTTCAAAAAGTGAAAAAAAGGTGGCTGTTGAGGGTGTGCACCAGCACTTACCAATTCCCAAGCGTGAGATGCGGACCTTAGACGTATAGAAAGAGAGAGAGAGAGAGGAGAGAGAAAGGAGTGAGATGGAGAGAAAAGAAAGAAATCTTTGCTCTTTGAGCCAGGTGGGTCTGTCCGTCAGGGCGCATCTGTACACAACTGCCTCCCAAATGCACGCACTGTAGTACCTTTTTCCCAGCTTTGCTACTTATGTTGGATTCTTGTCTCAGCTTTTGCAGATACCTTTTCTTTACCTTTTATTCACCTTTTTAATTCTCCAAAGTCATCCTCAACAATACCACCAGCTGCAACACAAGTATAATATATATATGGTATGGAATATATACACCAGCACCCTCCAAGAGGTGTCTATATCATTCTATACGTAGCCTCTTAGAGGTGATATAAGGGGTGTCCAAAACCACCGAACTTGGAAGGTCCTGGCTTCGCCTGGTTAAGCTTAAGGACCTGTTTAAGACCACAGGTTAAAGCTAGCGTTTATAAATAGGTGGATAGCTTCACAGCTAATTATATAGCAGCATACTTTGGTTCGGTTCCCCGAAGGGCCCTACCTTCGCCTGGATTTGCTGCTTGGCGCCAGCCTCGCTGTCCTCGCACACAAGGGGTTCATAGTCATGAAGCCAGCTGCCAGCACCGAAGTCGTCCTCCAGGATGCCAGCATAGGTGCAACATAAACAGCCGCAAGCAGGGCAAAGCACCAGAAAGCTACCCAAACAAACTGCAGCCCAATTCCAGCCATATGCCGTGTGCTGTGCTTCGGTGGGCTTGGCTCCGTCTTCGGCCATGATCTGACTCCACGCATGGGATGTGAAGTTCTCAACCTGCTGCGCCCAGCCGGACAAGCTGGCACCCGAAGGTGAACAATGGGCTAAGAGGATGGTGGCAAGGAGGGCCATGGCGACAGCAGAGCTTTCGGAAAACGGACGCTTTCTGTGTTTTTCCATCATGAAACATCTGACGAATAAAGAGTGTGAAAAGCTGGAGCTGGTGTCGAAATCCTAGAAAGGAAGTGGTTGATGTTAGGTGCTGTACAGTCTAACAGTCTAACTGATTCAGCTGTGGCATGAAGACACACCTGCTTTGATCTCCCAAGCCTTTTATAGCTGCATGAAGCTCAACCATCCACCATGATTCACCTGCGAAGTTGACTCGTCCCACCGTCCAAAAAAGAATATCCGATCGAATGCGTCATGCAAACAATATATATCTCTTAGCGATTGGGCCAACTGTGAAGTTGATATATAGTTGAAACAATCAGGGCTACTGAAGTCCAACATCGGCCGGCAAACAAGATGTCTCTAATTAGACTTCAATATTCCTCGGCCAGAACCCTCTACCTTTCAGGTTTCGTCCGGTTCGAACCATATCACAAGAATATATCACAAGCCTCCCAACAGGTTGAGTGGAACAAGAAGCGTCGTCTCCTCCCAGGTCTCCTCCTTTCACAGAGTCGGCGACAAAGGTCAGTGACTCGTCGCTCCCAGTCGTTGGTCAACTGGACCATGAAATAAACAACAGGTTCTCACTGTGTTCCGTCCATTCCTGCACTACCAGCGTAGTGTGACAAGCACCCCTGCCACATGGATGTGTAGCGAAAAAATCGCAAGACCTCTCAGGCGTTCCGACACCCCTACCAAGGTGAGAGGAGCAAGAGGGGTCTCCCTATGAAATCACCACCACCACCTGCAGTTGCTGCTGTGGGTCGACCCAGTCCAGGACAGCAGCGCAGGGCTCCGCATGGCTAAACAGCGGCCGACATTCGCGTGAGTCGAACGCGTGAGTTGTCGGAGTGTCAACAAGTAAATCTGCTTTGGCACACCCGCCTGTGGCCAAATCGACCCAGGACATTGGCACTTTCAAACAACTTGGGGGTGTGGTGAGAGGTTTCAGCTCCAGAATGGTGCGGGCAGTGTGCATTGTTGTGTCGCTGGTCCGTGTCTTTGTGCCTGGGACATGCAGACTTGTAGATAGACAAAGTCGGACAATAAGTATATAGTTTAAAGGGAAGATCCTAAATCATACAATGGCGTTCATACAAGAAAACAAGCCTTTTCGTTGTGCAGGTAGTATTGACTAGCTGAAACCATGTCACATCTACAACACATATTTGGTTACCCCAATACTGTATAGTACATACCGTTTGTTTAAAAATATATAACTTCGATTGGGGGCTCCCACCAAACGTGTCCTGCCAGCCCGGCACAACGGGCTGAAGGTCGAGACAGGGTCTGACGCCGTATACCCATTGTAAAGGATTAGGAATGGTCCAGGTGGATCCAACCTGGATCTCCGATGTGTATTTTTTTACAGTTTTTATGTTGATATGGGGGGAGAAATCTCTCCCAAGGCAGATTCAAAAGACTGTTCAATGTGGATGAATCAAAAACCGCCGGGCCAGGAGGTGCAAAACCGGGTGTTTGATTCATCAGCTGTCAAAATTACAGTTGGCAAGTCCACTAATGTAGACTGTTGATGACTATTAATATATATACATACGTATATATATTATATTCCCCATATTTGGGGGCGGAAATGGATGAATGAACCGTCTACATGGACGGCAAAGGTAGTCAGTGGAACCCTGGCAGCGTGTCAAACGGTATGTCATGATGTCATGGCCTTGTACAACCTTACAATGATTGGGACAATCAGGCCTACATGTCCTGGAGGTGCACTTCTTGATCATGGTCAACGATATTCTTTCCAGGCTACGTTCGCATGCTGACTAATCATACTTGGCAAACGGGTGGTACTCACAACCTTCGCAAGTCCATCAGTCCCAAAAGGTCACAAGTCAAAAGGGCTCTGTTAGGATCTGTTAGGGCATAAAAGAAATAACCAGTAACTAAGGAAATGGGTCGGGACTTTAATGGTGTTCTGTCTTTAATTGAGAATATGCTATGTAACTAAGAAGTAACCAGTAACTAAGGCGAGGTGAAATTGCACGCTTCGAAGCTTCATCGCAAGATACGAAAGATTCTGGAACGGCACCCTAGCTGAGGTGGCAATCCAAATAACGAACCTGAACTGTGCGAGAATCTAGGCTGAGTTTTGATAGCAAGAACGACTCTGGTCACAACTCCTAAGAAGTTCCTCCAAGCAGTGCAGGAGAAAAACAAACGCTTGTCATTGAGTTCTGCAAACACTGACCAACAAGAGCAGACATGTCCAAGTAAATTGTCGACAGCCCAAAATCACAAAGGAATATCAACTACAACTACAACAGCGGTGTTTCCCATGATCAGGTTCAGTGCGAAGTTCTTCTTCAACAGCAACCGTGCACTCTGGACCCCTTTGATGCCTCATCAATTGTGGGCTCCTGTCCCACATCCGCAGGTCAGGTCACAGATCCACCTGGCACCCATCCCACCCAACCAAAACCTCAACGACCTTCGTCCCCCCGGCGACCCAATCCGAGCGACAAGAACCGCAGGAGCTCGCCGTGCTGCTGGTGTGCTGCCCACAGCAGCGGCGTGCGGCGGAAGTGCACGTCGGCCAGCTCCTTGTCGGCCGAGGCATCCACCAAGCACCAGACCTGGTCAGTGTTGACATGGAGAACCCACGAACACCCGGAAAAAATCCATTGAAGCCCATGAATAGGAATCAACTGCCATGCCCGAGGATGCGTTGAGGGTGAGGGACTGGGAATAGTTTAAGTGACAATGGATGGTGCTATTGTATGCAGGTCTCTACCAGACATAGTACCACACTTTAGCAACAGCAGCAGCAGAATAAATACAAGCGACCAGAATCTCGAGCCAAGGCAACATCGAACCAGGTAGACCAAAAGAGCCGAAAGCATCAAAGAGTTGTGTTGTAGCAAGAAACCCGGACATCCTCTTGAGAGGCACTGCAGGGATTCCGATGTTGATGATCCAGGGAATCTGCCGTTTCTTTGGCAAGTTGTTGGAGGTACGACTACTATATAGCTGCCTCCCTCAGTCGGCTCACCCGGAACACAAAGGTTCGCCTCTTCAAGTTCAGTGGGCAGTCCACAATCCACCCCAAAAACATGGCTCCTACCTTAGACCCCCCTATGTCCACATGCCCAGGAATCATTACTTTTTTCGGTGGCCACCATCCAAAAAAACCACCTACCCGTCGGGCACGAGATCCGGACTTGGGCTCGGACAACTCGTCTTCGTCACGTCGTCCCGTCGCTCGAGGCCACCAAGGTGCTAGTTGCAAGTGCCCTTGCTCAGCTGCCAAACACAAGGGAGGCATGGCACCCACGTCCGGAGAGGCACCTCACTGAGCGTCCCGGCACCAGGTGCAAAGCAAGGAAGAAATCCAGGCTCTGCCCCTCAACTACTGTTCGAAGAACAACAACCTGCACCAAACCAACAACTATCAACAAATATATTTATACATTATACAGTGTGTGTTTTTCTAAGGTTGTGCAAAATCTCCTCCTTGGTCGATTTATATATTATCTTGAAAGCTCGGCACTTTGGTCTAGTTTTCAGATGGGTGATTGAAGCATCTTGAACCGTTCATGGAACGCTTCATGGATGCATGTCATGAAACTTATAACACACTAATATAGACATATTGTATTATACTATGTAAAAAAATACAACATATAGACATATGCACACCTTGACCAACAATGGCCCGATCAATGTGCAAGGTCTGCTTCGATAACCAGGGATTTGCACCACAAAACGGCGGGGGTTTGGGGTTTCTTGGCAAGTGACTCCCCGTCCCCACAACATCAGGTGGAAAGGATCCGATGTCGAAAGAAAGGCTTCGGTATACCGATGAGTGTTTTTTTCTTTTTTTTCGGCCGTCCAAAGGGATGATCCATTTGCAAGTTGGAGGGGTGAGTCTCTTCACAAAAAAGACATGAAGAAGACAACTTCACCAGACCTAGACACAACTTTACCAGCCAAGCCAAGAACATTATTCGAATGAGACATACCCATATCACCAATGAGTTCTTAAAACTTGATGATCGCGCAATTGAGTTCAAAAAACAAATTGTGAGTGCTGCCTCAGGAGGTGCGGGCATCGGATGTCAAATTCCACCAGCACATGGTCAATTGACGTTACCATTCAAAAACCATCAGGATGGAAACAACTCTTCTCAAACCACCCGGACCAGTTCGAAGGAGTTCTTACCCCCCCCCGCCTTTGGCCAGCATTGCTCTGGCAGTGTCCAGCCATCCCTTCTGCGCTGCTTCGGCCAGCACCGCCTGAGACCCATTTGCTCCAACAGGGCAAAAAATCCACGGAAGATTGACATCTCCCCCATCTTCTTGGGTACTCAGGTGCAGTGAGTACTGTTGACTCAGGTGCAGTTGATCAAATTGTGAATCCATCTTCCTGGTCACAAAAAGAACACCAAAGCTGCAAATCCCGTGACGGCCTGAGGGTCCTCCACATCGACGTGACCTGCGCTCTCGAGCGGCATCTCCTGGCGGTCACCGTGAAGAGTGTTGCCTAAAGAGTAAGCGCCTCCATTCATCTTGCAGCTTTTACATGCGCGCCACGCGGGAATGTTCTCATCTAATGAAGCAAAGTAGTCCATCATGAGTAATTATTAGTTCTCCCTCAATTGTGGACTTGGAAAAGAGAAGACTTGGAATATACCCCCCTCATCACCGGGTCCAACTCTACATAGGGAGCGGGGGATGGAATTTCAATGAATTTAATTCATTTAAATGTGTTGGCATGTTTGGAGCTGAGGTGGGACAGGTGTGTACGAGTTTATTCAAACAGGAGGGGTGTAGCACAAGGCAAACTGACCAAATGATGTCTCGAGGAAATCTATGTGTTTCTTGTTCTCTTCGGATTCGGTGTTTCTGGAAGCACCTGTTCCAGGATATGTCTGAAAGGTAGGGGGACATCAAGACCCTAATTGTACGCATAGGGGTGGGTACACACATGCAATGAACATGAGGGGGGACAGGGTCAGCAAAAGCAAACAACATGTATGAAACAAAGGGGGGGAGAGGCTGGTCAAGGTTCGAGGCCACACCTACGTATGCACAGGCCACATGTACCCACTATGGGGATCTATGGGGTACAATGCTGCAATTGACACAATCATGGCGCAAGATTAGAAGGGCTTGTGGGGGAATTTGGATTTTGGAGAATTAGTTGTTGCTGTTGTGTTGGGAGAAAAGCGTCTAACGTCTCATGGTGTCTCTTGTTTTGTCGTCTGTTCATGTAGTCTATTGTAGTCTGCTTGCTTTCTGAGCATTGCCCAGTCGTTTTAATATGTACAAGTGTATTTTTCACATGTGGGAGGTTTCCCTCGAATCAAAAAATATATGTGTATGTGTTTCTTCAAAACATGTATACTATGCAAGCAGGGGGACCAGTACTGAAAAACGGCTTGGTCTTCCCACATGATGGTTCCAACATGGGGCTTTGCCAAAAAAGGGCTTTTGGGATTTGAACTGCTCAAGATCCTTTGAATCCTGAGGATCCTGAGGTTTTGCTAACCAAGCTTCCACGTGGTCGGGCACGAAGGAAGAGCATCCGTACATTTTCTATGAATGGGATTGACACTCCATCTCACTCCCACAGTTTCCCTGGAAAAAAAGATAAATAAGGTTAGCCTTTTTCCACCGGCTCATGTTTAGTGAAAACAAAAAAGAAACACTCCCCTCAAAAATGAAAGCTTATCTACGTTTCTGGGGTATAGCGTTTAAAGTGCATGTGAGCGAGATGGGTTGGTCAACATGCAAGAATTCAGTGGGTGTGCAGCACACCTGCAGCCTGCGTATTCTACCCGAGGTCTCGCCCTGGTCGGCTGGGTAGAACGACTGCGACCGCATCGAACCAGTCTGCGCCCGGAGACCAGAACCTCCAATCGCCCCGGAGGTTCTTTCGTCCAAATGTTCTTGGTGGACGAAATCGCCCCGCTGTGTTGAGGTGTGACGAAATCCGGAAATCCGGAGTCATCTGAATCGCCCTGCACCCGGCTCTTCCGCCTGGCTTCGGAGCGACCTCGCCATGCGTCGCGGTGTCGGTTTCGGGCCGTTTTCGGGCCGCGGACCCCGAAATTCCGTTGGGGTGACCAGCGCGTGTTTGGGACTTGGCGTGTGATGGTGTGATCATTTCCAATAACTGCTCGGGAACATCGTGAATCATGGACGATGAGAGGCGCATGGAGCTGCATGGATCATTCTGAATCTATGGAACTTCCAAGCCAAGCTGCGGCAGATTCAACCCTAGAGCCCTAGACCCACTTTCGGGTGCTTGGGATGAAGTGGGTCATGCCCCGACTCGCTCCGATGTTCAGAAGCCTTTGCACGACACGCCTGAGGCGAGTCTCCGAAATGGGTGGGTTGGTGGGTGTTAGGGCCCTGGCAGTGAGGTCTCAATGGGTGACCTGGCAGTGAGAATGCTGTTCTACCTGGTACCTGAATGTTCAACACATGACGACCTGCATGCCAAAGTGCGCGCACCTCGCTCTTCGAGTTCACATCAAACAAATTGCAACGATGAAACGGATAAAAAAAACACCACCCTCTTGCTTTTGGTTACATGTTTGAGTGTTGAGAAAACTGACCTCACCTGCAACGCACAGGTGATCACCACCTACTTCCGGTAATTCTAGGAAAACAACGTCTGCAAAGATGTGTCTCCCAATGGGTCAGAAAAGCATCGAAAACCGATGGCGGGTCGTTCGTGTACAAATCTTGGCATCCAAAACACATCTTGACATCCAAAACTGAGAGACGGGGATGTGAACATCTCTTGAATTCTGGCTTGGCGATGCAACTCACACAGAGAACTGCTCATCCCTGGTCTGCAAACGTCTTTTCTGCATTTTTCTGCACCATATGGCGGGTCACTTGCGGTCAGTCCGAGGCGCTTGGGAGCTCAGCCGAGAATCTCCCTATCATGGATGTAACTTTAAAATAGATAGACAATGCGAACCCAAAGGGCCCCAAGATACCCCAAGTGTTGGACGTTGGGCTTTGGGAAGGCGATTTATAGATAGTGGCTAACATGCACATTCAAACTCAATATACACAAATTCTTGAAAAGAATGGAGAGGCAACACGAACCGTAGAAAACTATCCCTATTTATCAAAGTTTTGGACCATACCGTTTCTTGATTTTTGGAAGAGTGTGCCCTTTTCTTCACCAGCTTCAACCGGGTCCAGTCCCATTGTCTTCGACACCACCATTTCATGACAGCATTCCGGCAGCAATTTTGTGACAGTCGGCGAATGACTCGCTACTCCGGTTTTCGCACCCGGCAAGAGCCCCCGATCTCTACGCCCCTCCCGCGGGATGCGCAACTCCGCCGCAGGGGCTTCGTGGTGTTCATCGCCTCAACACGCGGTGTTCACGTTCATCGCCCCGGGCAAACATGTGTTTTTTTTTGTATTATGTGTTTAATTTCTAAGTAACTCTAACTCAAGCTGCACGTGTTTTTTCGGTTCGGAAATGGAACACTCTTCAACCCACAGTGTGGAGTCAAAAACACTTCTGCATCGATGATGAACGCTACATTGAATGATAAAGAACAAAGATAGGAAAAGTTAGGAAAAGTACAATTGCTGGGTTCCTGCCTTTGTGTCGATACAAGAAACACCTGCTTTTTTTGGCGGAACTGGCTCAACAAATTTCTTTCAGGTCCAAACGAAGCAAGGTATCAAGATGAACCAAGTGATGCTCTAGCCCGACTACAGATCCTTCACGCAACAGGTCCCCGCATTAGAAACAGTCTCAAAGACCTCTGTTCCAAAGGTTTTTTTTTGGACCCTAAGTGAGTGGACGACGGGGTTTTCCCTGCCCTCCAGGAAACATCCCTTGTTCCAAAGTGCCGTCAACACATCTTAATCTTCTCAAGTGTCGCTTTAGATATATACCGAGTACCGTGCACTATACCAAAAGCATCTTAAAGCTATGTCAGCCATTCTTCGGTCCAGAAATCACATTCATCATCATTCGTCTAATTATCCCCGAATTCCGGTAGTTTGATGTCTGTTTGCCATGCCATGCCACGTCTCAAACCCCACCCGTTTCATTCGCCTCATCGATTTGAGATGGCGGTGGCCACGGCCGCCTGGAAGGCGCATATGGCTGCGAGTGGCGAGTTGCGCGGCATATGGCGGAGGTCCACAGAAGCAGCGGTCCATGTCACGTTGACTCCTGAATGTACACTCTTGATGAATACCCCCCGCCAATTGAATTGTGAAAGCCTCATCTGACTTCATATGGGGGGGGGTCGTGGATCAAGAATCTACATGATACTCCCTGGAAGAACCATCGAAGTGGATGATCCGATGGCATTGCCCCTCGTTGGATTACTCCCAGACGAAGACATCACATGGAAAGTGGAAGGAAAGTCCTTTCAAAACTACTTTCCTCTACCAACACAGCCACTTCCATGTGATTGACTCGGAGTGTAATGTTTGTTTCAACTCGCTGAACATAACCTTGCATCCGTCCATATATGCATTTTATGGGTCCGTCCAATTCAACAGCTTCGGTCGATGAACCTATTCTAAATGTAACCATTCTGAGCCTACATTAAACCTTTTCTCTAGATAGGAGGATTGATGGATTGATCCATGTAGGTCCATATCACTTTCCAGGGTCTGTGATAGGTCCATGAAATATCAATCACACCTTTCTCTAGATCCTACATACCACCCTTCCACTCCCACGCACATCTTTACATATGATGGCCTCTGCGAGGGTTGCCATAATCAACTGCTCAGCCACCATCAGCTGCTCCTGCCACTCTTGGATCTCAAACACAAGTCAAGAGCAAGTCCAACATGTCAATGGCACTGTCAATGGCATTCAAAAGCTATAATTATATACGGGGTTTCAAAAGGATTTCTATACCCCTCTCCCGTCTTTGAACCTCACCTCCAATCGATCTGAGACCCCGCATGGCCCAGTGCACCCGAATTCTATGAGGGAGACCAACCGTTCGGTGTTCCGACCTCCTGGGTTTGGATCGCAACAGAAAAAGAAACAGTCTACCCAAGCCAACAAACCACAAGATCTCACTCTCCAAAATTCTGTCCCTCCATTGTTCCAGTCAGAGATCACATGCTGCCTGTGAAGCACCCATTGACTGGAGCGTCCTGGTATGTCTTGAGGGAACACCCTTGCAGAAGCAAAAGGCTGTCAACCTCATGGGCTGTATACACACATATACACACCATTTGTGGTGTACCCATCATGCTGAGTACTTGTTTACAACATGAGTTGGTTCCCTCCCTACCCTACCTTATTTCTCAGACCGTGGTGGTTTACTCCAAAAAATACTCAGCCAATCACCAACAAAATGGTGCAGCCAGTGACCAAATCAGTTCCAAATAGTTCCACACTCAAGGCCCATGGCTCTCCATGGCTCTCCATGGCTCCGCATGGCTCCGCATGGCTCCTGGCTGCCAGGCCCCAAGATGGCTGTGTGCCTTGGCAGCAAGGTTCTTTCGTGGGCGACTGCTCGATCCCGAGATGTTCCAGAACATTGAACACGGCAGTAACCGAGCAAAATAAGTGATGTACTAAATTGCCATGAATGACTGTGGGGTCCGTCACTGCAGGCACCAAGATGCATGTCCACTGATGGTGCACATCAACCATCATGAAGCAAGGCTGCTGCTGCAAAAACCTCTTTTGCGGCATATTAACACTAAATCACCTGTGGAATTACCGGTGTGCCTTGAGATTTGATTTAAACTAAGTTATAAAACGAGAAACCAGGCTCTGAGGGCAGATTGCCCCACTATAGAATCAAGCATCAACCTCCTGCAGTGCTGGAAACCAGTTCTCTATAGAATCAAGTGCCTCAGGGTATGGGTGTTCATGATCATGAAAAAATAGCAAAAATGATCAAACATGGGAAAATCAATGATGCGTAGCCAAGGTAGGTTTTGATTCTATAGAGAAGTGGGGACATATGAGAAGTGTGGGGACATATGAAGGTTGAAAATGAGATATCAACCTACCTGATCTCACAACACACCATCCACTACTCCAGATGCTTTCTATAGAATCACATGTTAGGACCTCTATAAAATCTGGTGACATGGCATGCCCTCTCTGTAGAATCAAGTGTCGGTAACCATCTTGAGAGAACAAGCTGACTTTTTTGGACCCCATGTTTAAAATGTGGTGGTCTTTCAGATAGGTTGATATTGGTTTCTATAAGAAAATTGTCTATAAAATCAATTGGTCATTTTGAGCTCAAGCTCCCAGATTCTATAGAGGATATTCCGCAGGGGATAATAGTAATAGATATCATTATGTATATACTTCCAGCAACTTCCAAGGGGTCTCCAATGGACTACCCTACACTACATTTACATCTCATTTTTTCACAACCCTTGGAAGGTCCAGGTAGGGTAGTTGTTTGTGGTGTCGCATGGCTTCCAGGCGTCTTTTGGAGGGAGGATTTTTTGAGGGGTGGTGTTCAGGAACCGGTGGTTTTAAACATCTTTAGCGACCCTGCCCTGGGCTTGATCATCCGAGCTGCGCCATTCCAGGAAGGTCAGGAGGTCTGAGCTCAATCTCAGTGGAGGAAGCAAGCACGGTTGGAACTGTGTTGCAATTGGATCCAGCGTATGCTTCCACCAAAAATTTGTGTGTATGTATCAACATGGGAGTGTCTAACACTCCACCAGTTTCTCGTTGCGCAACTTTGTTGTCCAAATCCAATGGGAGTGTGCTAAACTAGGGGAGACTTCCCCCCTTTCTTACCAGCTTCTGAACAATAATCTGCATTAATGTGAGCCAGTCGCCGATCTAGGTGCCCGGGCTGCCAAGTTCCCGGCCTGCTGCCGGATCCGTGCCAGGTTGCCACCCTGGCAAAACGAGCCAGCTTGGCGATCGGAGGGGTTCAGGCAGGATGGGACGTAGGCGATCGGCTGGCTCATTTGGTTGGAATGGCTTCGGCTTCTGGCAGATGGCTTCGGCCATCCAATCATCTTCAACTTCTAAATGAAGGGTAGATGCCCCAGAAAGCTATTAGGTTGGAGGC